TCGGTGTTGGTTTGAAAGTTCTTACTTCCTGTGAGCAGGGTGGGAGGTCACTACTATCAGTAAAGTCCAGACCCTACAGACACTGTATCAACTCCCTGGGCTCCCAGGCTGGCTGGAGGTGAGTTGCAGGTGTGAAAAAGCTCCCTAGTGACTAAGCCAGGGAGCCCCATTCTAGAGGGATCAGATATTTTCAAGACTCTTGGGCTTTATACACTTTTTTTCCAAAAAATCAGCACAGCCATAAAGGCCATCAACCAAGGAGGTGACATTTTTCAGAAAAAAAATAAAATAAAATAAAAGCCAGTTCTCACTTCTCCCTGGCAAACTCCCTCCGGCCCTGGCATCCCTGAGGAATGTGACAGCTTGAGATCCAGATGGAAGAAGTAAGGCCTGGGAGCTCCACCCCTTGTCTTCAGTGGCCCCGCTCTGCTCCTGTCCCTAATAAACAGGAAGGCATCCGCGCCATCAGCGTCCATCCCTCTCAGAGCATCTGAGACCTGTCTGGGCCATCAAAGCCATCCCCAGCCCTTAGGGGTATTCTGAAAGGGACACCAGCCTCACCAAAAACAATTCCCCATTGTTTCCCACCCCTTGGAAGTCATGGATTTGTAAACAGGCCCTTACTTTTAGACAGGTCTTGCCCTGGCTTTGTGCTGGTAGGTTGTTTTTTCTGCCCCAAACAATGTCCTTTCCAGTCGGGCCAGCCGTTCACACCATTGTCTGAGATCTTGGACTACAGGAAACAGCACCAGATTCTTATCAGCAGGGGGAGGGGGCAGAGTGAACAGATGAGGTCATGTCTATAAAGCAAGCTTGTTGGGCTGCCACATCATTCTTCAAGACCTTTATCTGTGAGAACAGAGCCTTCCTTGTCCTCCCAACCAGCCATTCTAGGCTTTGAGTGTTCCTAGTACAGTCTCCGCCATTGGAGGGCAGGCACCTGGGCTCTGCTCTAAGCCTATGTTGATTCACTTTGGAATCTTCACCAGCCTACAGGTGTGCCTTTGCCCTGATCTTCCCTGTCTAATGGGATGCTCTTGGCAGTGAGATATACCCTGTTGGGGTAGATTGGGTTTTAGTCATCTTCCTCCCCAGGGGAAAGAAGTCAAGCCCCCTCCAGCAGAGTCCTAAGTGTAATCTAGTAACTGACAACTTGAGGCCTGGTGTGACCAGCATCCCTTACAAGGCCTCCCTGGAGACTGGGTATAATTTCCCACTGTCAGCAAAGAATTATTTTTTTTAAGGCTGCATTAAGGAACTAGAGTTTCCTTAATGAAAAGCCAACAGGGAAAGTGAAAGATTTCATTATGGCACAGGCTATAAGGACAAAGGGCCCAACAGTGGTACCCACAGCAAAGTTGGGCAGAGGTTACAACTGCCCTTGCCTCAACTCCTGCGCACCAGGGGTGTCAGGGAGAGGGTCCAGGGTGGGGGGACTAACAATATCTAAACTCCTGATCAGGTACTGTGTTCAAAGTCAGCCCCACCCACTCAGTCTTTCCACCACAGGTCCAAGTTTATAGTCTCAGAGAGCCCTGGGGATTTGATGATAGTGTGAACTTCTTCCTTGTCGGAGACCCTATAGACCAGCACTTAGGTAAAGTTGGTGGCTCCTTAACTCAGATGGAAATTGGGCTATTTCTGGGCCACTGTCTCTTAGTTGTAAGAAATGTGGCTGACTAGAAAAACCTCAGTTTGCTGAATTGGCAGGAACATGTAAGCAAGTTCTCTGGACCCACCCAGCTCTAACTGTATCCACCGGGTCCTGTCAGCTCAGAAAGAAAGTAGCCTGGCAGTAAACAGGCCAGTCGGCTGAGGGCTGCTGCCTGTCTACCCCTTCAATTCGAGGGTTGCTGGGCCCTAACCTGAACCTAATCAAGTGAAATGTGAGGGTCAGATGTCTTTTGAGAAAATGCAAAGGGCTGCTTTCCTCCCTTCACCTTCGCTTCCCATCCCCCGCCTTTCCTTAGACACTAACCTGTTGAATTATAGGACAATCTCAGATTTGAGTTGAATACCAGTCCTCCACAGAGGACGAGGGCTGCAGGAGAAGGAAGTAGGCTGGAGAGCAGGCTGGATGTGAGAGGAGGCAGCCAGAGGCAGGACAGGGTCCAGCCAAAAGGGTCAGCAGACTGGCCACTTGGCAGCCCTGGGCCTGGGGTGGCCGGTCCTGCTCTGGCATGGGCCCTAGGAAGCCAAAGTGTCTGTTCCATCTGGGCGGTCATGCCTCTGGAGCTACCAGGCTTAGGAGGCGGAGATCAATAAATTACTCTCATGCGTTAAGGGGAGGAAGTAATCAGTATTTTCCCAAAATATGCTCTTCAAGACATTAGAAACATAAAGTGTTTACTACTCCTAGGGAGGAGAGGGGTAGAGGTCCCAACGTTTGGGAGAATTATATAGCACGCAGGAGGCACTCAAACAAATGGATCACTGTGAGCTCCTCGGGGACTCGCAGCATGCGCAAGCCGGCAGCGCACTGCTCCAAGGGGACGGAGCGGCAGCAATCCCCTGTCTGTCAGACATGGTGCTGGGGCATTTCCTGAGATAATTTCTCCACAGGACACCTTCTGGAAAACCTTTGATTAATTTCTTTCTCAAAGCCCCTTTCTAATTCAAAACTTGAGAAATAAGAAACATAGTCCCAAAGAGCCCTAGAGGGAAAAGTTGGGAGAAGAAGATAGAGTGAAATTGCTGAGGCAGGAGGTGAAGTTCAGGATATGTCCACCCAAGGGGTCTTCAGAGGTGCTGTGTGCACGGGGGAAGCTGCATCCCCACAGCCTCATGACGCTCATGATGCATCGCAGTCAGTGGTGATGGTGCCTGGAGCCAAGGTACCTGGGGTCCAGGTTTTGCCAGGCAGAGTGGACAAAAGTAGGGGCTTGTCCTAGAGCCTGGGATGCAAGACAGAACTGGTGATGGGCCAGTTAGGCCGACCTCATCTACAGCACGGGCTGAGGGACCCATACAAGCAACAGGCCTGTCTCCGTGGGGAGGCGGAGCGATGTCCGTCTGTAAAGCACCCTGCCTTTCCCCGTGCTCCTCCAGAGCCAGAGGAGACTGTCCTTCGCTGGGACATGATTCACGGGGGAGTGGGCGCTGTGGTCAGCAGTGCCTTCTGCAGCATACCCAGGAGGCCGGACTCACAGGGCTCTCCCCCTCCCCAGAAGTTGCAGCCCCCACAGCACAGCTCCCATCTCTCAGACAAGAACACAGTGGCCTTAATATATGTTGGTATGTGGCTTGGGATGAAAACAGGCACCAGGCCAAGGATTGCTGTTACAAAAGTCAAGTGTTATTGTGAAAAAGAGAACAGGGCTGCCTACATGCCCAGCTGCCCTTTGCCAGCACTTTTCCCTAGCTCAAGATCCCCCTGAAGTTCTAAGGTCAGGCTCAGAAGTCTTCCAGGCAGGATTTTCCTAATTTAATAAGCAATCTCAGCTTCATAGACAAAGCCCTCTGTCTCCTTCCTTCCCCTGATACCTATCTCCCTCCCCTCTAGAAACTACTACCCAGGGTGGCCTCCTTCCTAGAAAGGAAGGGGAAAGTTCTTCATTAGCAGCTCACAAGATGGTCTCCTTCAATTTAGTTAAAAAAAAAAAAAACCAACAACCACAGATACAATAATGATATAATTATGAGATGTAAATATGAACTTCATGCCTTTGCTTGCAGACCGTGTGGTAGACCACTGCACTAGCCTCACCAGAACTCAGGCATCATGACAATAAAAGTAACAACAGTAATTAGAAGTGTGCTATGAAGGCAGCAAAACCACAAGGCCCACCTCAAATAAGAATACAAAAATAGAATTCACATGTAGAGGCATTCCCAAGACTTAATGACACGCTGTACCGTGGGGACAGGGGTGAGGTGGCTGGTAGAAGCTGTTCTCAATTTTCCAAGTACAGGTGTACAGGATTTTCAGTTCTTCTCCCTCCATCTTCCAGAACCATTTCCCCCAGAGGAGCCTGCCTGAGCCAGCCACACTCGGGACCCACCTAAAGGCACTGATGGCCGGGGTGTTTCTCCCTGGCTTCCTAGGTCGGAGGGCAGAGCCAGCGGCAGTTCTGGCACGGGGTTCGCGCTCTTCCTGGTCTCCATCTCCCTCTACCTCTGTTCCGGCCGCTGCCCTGCAGTCCTCACCTCTGCTCTTACCTGCTGACATCCCAGCCGCAGTAACCCCAGGCCAGAGGCTACCCAGAGTGCTGTCAAGGGGTCAGTGCTTGAATTGAGCTGCCACTCAGCGGGAGGAGGGGCCTCTTTCATATTCCAGTTCTTCAGAGGGCAGGGAAGGCGCAAATAGCAGGCTAACTGGGTTTGAGTTCAGGGGGGCAAGTAGCCCTGTCTTCCTTTTTGTTTTTCCACTCCCCCCCCGCCCCGCTTTGTTTTAATGGGGGAGGGAGGAATCTCAAACCTGATGCTCTTGTCTCTCTCTTGTTGGTTTTGTGCGTGACCAACTGGTTCATATGCAGGCTGGGAACAACTTTCACTTAGTCCTCTTTCTCCTCCTCTCCCTTCGTGCTCCCTAGCCCAAGAAACACTGCTGATGGCAAAAGTACCTCCCTGCATGCCAGACAGATGCACCTGGCCATCTTAGCCTCAGTCCCAGAAGCAACAGAACTTAGAAGTTTGTTGTTTTGTTTTGTTTTTCTTAAAAGAGAAGTCTTCATAAACTGCATGGCCAATGCTTACTTAGGGGAAACCAAATTCCAAGGTGGGAAATGCCTGACTTTTTCTGGCTCCTGAGCTAACTGATGCCATCTTGAGTGCTTGAGATGCCTGCAGCATCCCCGTAAACCGTCCGGGGTCCTCCCACATGCTCTGTATCTCAGAGGCCTCTTAAGTCTCTGTGACTCTGGGCAGAGCCTGCCCCTGGCCTGCCCACAAATGCTTCTGGTTCACAGATCATTCTCACCTTCTCAGGCTGTGGGCACTAGCTTGTCCTGTGTAGCTGCCCTCCTCCCTCCATCTCGGGGGGGGGGGGGGGGACACGGGACATTCTCCTGAAACCCACCCTCCCCATGCCCGTCAGCATGGAGATTATGATGGGGACAGGGGCAATCTTTCAGGAGGTATGGGCACCCCAGGAAAGCTGGCCTGGGGAAGGGAAGTCAGGCTCTGAGGCCCTCCTCTTCGGTTCATAAAGGAGGGGTGAGGCCCAAACCACCTGCAGGTCCCAGGAGCTCCAGCAGTCTGTGCTTCTAGGAGTGATTCTGAGATGCAGGAGAGGTGGGAGGCAGTGGGAAGGAGCCAGCTGCAGATCAGGCGGGCATGGGCCCGGCTGGGGAAGGTGTCTTGCTGTCCCACCCTCTTAGCACCTAACTAGGTGCTAAGGTCTTCTTAATGGGTGCTGACTTGGAGGCCGCTTCGCCCCCCTGGCTGTCTGAAGGCTCCCTGCCCAGACACCACCTCAGACACACCCTCACACCCACTCTAGGGGCCTCTCAGAATGGCCATTGTTCTGCAGACTGGGAAAGAACCACCCAGCCCTCTCCCTGTGGGCACAAGCGGAAATGTGTTCTGGGGTCCATCCCTGAGAACAAATAGTAGTCCCACAGGGTTACCAGCAGGCTAGCGGGTGCTGGCACCAGCCTGGGACTGAGAGCACAGAGAGGACAGGAACAGGACCCCTCCCTCAAGCCCAGGGCCCCTCCCTCAATCCCCCCTCTTTTCTGTGGCAGCCTGCTGGGGGCGGGGGCAGAGACTCCATCTCTAGGAGACAGTCTGGCATGGTGGTCCTCTGCTCTGACAGGGGCTGCTGCTGGGCCACGCGGCTCCACCCTCTTCTATGTGGCCTCCACCTCCCGGGGTGTCCGATTGCGCTCAACCTGCCCCCGGCTCTTCACCTTTTTGCCCAGCTCCAGCCCTGCCCAGCTCTTGCCCTTGGCCTGCTTGGCACGGCTCCGAGAGGAGCACCATACACGTTCACAGTATTCATCCACCCGGGGCAGGTTGGCGAAGCCAGTGAGCTGCAGGATGTCCTTATACCAGCCCTTGGGTGGCGTGGAGGACAGTCCTCCCTGGGCTGGGGTCTCCTCTGGCCGAGGCTGGCGGGGAAACAGACTGTGGAGCTGGGTGGCTGCAATCACCTCCAGAGCCAGGCGGACCACCGTCTGGGAGAAGCCATGCTCCAGCGTCCTGCAGATGTAGGTGCCCGCGTCCAGGCGGCTGAGTCTTCGGAACAGCAGCCCCTGCTCCGTCTGCAGGACGCGCTCGTCTGTCTTCACCTGCCGGGCACGTGGGTGAGACAGAGCACGGTGCGGACCAGCAACTCCTCTGGCCCCTGCTTTTCCAAATTTGCCATCTTGTGCCCAGGGCTTGGGCACTTCCCCTGGCCCACTCTATCCTTCCCAGAAGTGGGTCAGCAGCCTTGAGATTGTGAGCTGATTGCACAAAGCTTCTCACCGACCCATGATCTGGGACAGGCCTGCAAAGTGCTGATTATCCCCAGTTGCAATGCTCACACTTCCCTCTACTACACACACGCACACACACACGCACACACAACTACTCTGCATTATCCACAGCTGCAGGATGTCCTTATACCACCCCTTATACCACTGTGCCCCCACAGTGCAGAGTCCACAGTCCCAGCCAGGAGTGCGCTGAGTGCCCATCACAGCGTAGGAGGTGGGCGTGCTGGTTTGTTCCAGCGGGTCTCTGGTCTAGACCCTCCCTGGGCTCTATCCTGCATAGCTGTCCCTTGAGGTTGCACTGCTTGGGCGGTTAGTGTTGTGTAACTCCATCTCCTTGCTCTCCCTGCCTTGGCCCCCTGGAGGAGTCTTGTCAGTGCCCAGCCCAACAGCTGGCCCAAGGCTGGCCTCCCCCAGTTCCCAAGCTGGAAGGAGAGCCCCTCCCATAATCATCCCGGTCCTTGGCCGTGGGAGCGACTCGAGAATGGCTCCTCACCCTGCCCCACCCACACCCATCCTCAGGCCCCAGACTGAAACCATCTCTGGGGTTGACAGACCTTTCCGGATGGGGGAGGAAAGGGTCTGGGCAGACAGCTGGGCTCCAGGGAGGAAGTGTGTGGCCAGGCAATGTGTGGGGTGGGGGGTGCAAGGACCAGCATCCAGTGGCTAGGGATCCGGACAGGGGCAGAGGAGGATCAAGAATCCTGGGGAAGAGATTCCTTCAAGAGCGAGTCATGTAGAAGCACAGGAAGCTTGCTGACCACCTAGACCCCCTTCCCTCTCTTCCATGTCTGTCACACTCATTTCTGGGGGGAGTAGTTTCTCTGGCACTGGAAAAGCTCCAGCCGCATCTGGCTAGATGTGGTCAGGTGCTCCCAGATGGCAGGAACAGGGCGCCACCCCCTAACCTCCCAGGGGGCTAACACTGCCTCTCCCGGCTGATCTTGGCAGGTGCTTCCAGAGCCCAGAGCCCTTTCCTGGAGCTCAGGCCTTAGGGCCGAGGGAGGGGTGTGGCCTCAGGTCGTGTACAGGAGACAGTGGTCCGGGCTCACCTGGTCAGGTCCCACCTTCCCTGGCCTCTGTAAGAACCAGTGCACAGCAGCCTGGGGAGATTTGGGCAGGCACTCAAGGAAGGTGCTGTTGTGTTCTGTGCCATAGACCTTGCTGGTCGCCACTAGCCCTGGAGAGAGGCAGAGGTTAGCTCAGCTCAGGAACTGAAGGACCCCGGGGCCACCGATTGACTCCCAGAGCCCAGGAGTCCCTACCACTATGACAGACCAAGCAGCCAGCCTGCCCACGGGCCTGACACACAGATTCTGACAGGGGCTGCACAGTTGGAGAGGCTGAGGACCCTGTGTTACAACCAGTCTGAGACCACATTTCACAGAGGTCAAGCCAGGCCACAGGGTGATAAGGCTTTGTGAGGCCCCAGCCAGCCCCAGGGCTGCTGCACTCACCATCCTGGCGCTGACCCCGGCACTGCACCGCAGGGTTGCCATGCCGGATGTCCTGCCGGCGGAACCGGCGCTTGCTGGTGCCAGGCCGGTAGCGGGTGCAGGAGGTGCCATCCCAGGCACAGTACGGGTCCCGGGCCAGACAGCACTCTGCACAGGCACTGCCGTAAGTCTCACACTGGTGCAGCTGCAGCCGGGCCACGCCCAGCCTGGACCCCACGTACAGCATTTGCTGGGAGGGACACAAGGTTGAGGTGAGCCTGGTTCCCCAGAAGCAGCTACGCTGTCAGTCCCCTGGGGCTTCTGAGACCCTGCCATGTGTAAGTAGTCTTCCAGGACCTCTCAGCACATTCTCAGACACAAAAAGTGCTTGCACCCACCTACTCCCTATCAGTAGAGGGGGAGGGGACAAACCCCAGGTCTTTCCCTATGTCCTCACTGCTGCTGACCTTTGCCCTCTACCCCATTGGCCTTTATTTTCATCAACCTCTCACCTTAGAGGTTCACACTGCACTATACAACCCTAGTACAAAAGTTGGCATTAGCTCAAAGATAAACTGGGACAGATAAACCCGCCACTTGCAGAAGGACATACAGCAGCCTCCTCTAACAAGTGACTCCCCTGTTTGATTAAAAATCTGGATTTTTCTTTTCAAGAACACTTTTGCTTCCCTCCAGGAGCCAGCCTTAGTGGGTTCCCCTGACCTGGACAAAGCCTCACTTAATCAGTGGTTTAACGCATGGGGTCTCTGCTACCCCTGGGTTCTCCGCCTCATTGCAGGGCCCAGCCAGGCAGCCCAGCCTCCAGGGGCAGCGCTGGAAGGCTGCAGGCCAGGATAGACGAGAGCAAGGGGTGCTGGGAAGGGGCAGCTGTCTTACCCTTTTGACGGAGATCTCCATTTCAGTGATGGGTGTTGGCACCTGGGGCAGGGCGCAGAGTCTCAGGAAGGGTGGACTGGGGGACAGGCTCCCCTGCATCCCTGCTTGCAGCTCCTCCAGGGCCTGACTGGGAGCCACCTGTCTCCCAGCTGGGCCCGAGCGCTCCTTGGCAACTAAGGCTGCACAGTCTTTCCCAGACCTCGCCTTGCACGGACTGGTCTCCAAGCGGGAGGCTCAGCTAAAAGCGCACAGATCTGGTGTCCCCTCCCACAGCCTGTTCCCCTGCAATGAAACAGCTGCCCCAGTCACCCACCCTTGTCAGTAGGCACAACCGTCCCCCAGACACAGATGACAGATGGCCACCCCCACCGCTTGACTCTGTAGAAGGGCCAGCAGAACTTGTTGGGGACTTGGGGTCTCAGCTTCCCGCTCACAGCAATGTGAACCTGGCAAAGTTTTGATAAGGGGTGCTCACCTTGATCTTCCCCTTGGATGCCCCAACTTTCAGCTCACAGACTGCATCTCCCACATTAGAAGCATCAGCAGACCTCTGTGGCACTAAGTGGCCTCATTTACCCTCCACTGACCGCAGGTTTGGTAAAGGCAGGCCCATGCCTCTCCTGTGCTGTGCTCCTGTACCCCATAGCCAGCCCTATACCCAGATGTGCACGTGAGGGGTGCCCCTGCTCACCTTAAACACCTGGAGCTCCTCCAGAACCACCTCCTCGGGCTCAGCCGAGCCTTCTTCCTGAAGGGCAATGATCTTGAGCACAGAGCCTGAGTCTGTGGGGGAGCGGAGGGACCAGTGGGAGAGAAAGGGGTAGCTTGGACCCCTGCACACCTCCCAGTCCAGCCACCCTGCTCAGCGCACCCACCGGTTCCGAGAAAGATGACATCATAGGTCCCATCCTCTGCCTCTACTCGGTCCACCACTATCTGGCGCAGCTGCTGCGTTAGGTGGGTTTTGACCAGGACAGGGCGGCCTCCCCGAGGCTGCACAGCCCTAAACATGAGTGGGTGGGCTCGGGCAAACTGCAGCACCTCGTCCGGGTAGTCCTTGGTGTTGCCGAAGGGTCGTCCTGGCTGTGCTGTCATCTTGCTGGGGCACTGGGCAGCGACAAAAGGAGCACCTGAAGCATCCTGGGGTCTCAGGGTCCTCCTGCTTCCATGCCCCACTGCCTGGACATGCCAACCTCGAAGGGACCCCAACCTCAGAGCCCTCAAAGCAGGAGAGCTCGGCTCCCTCCTCACCCTGCCCAGCCCCTCTGGAGTCTCAGCTCAGCCTGGTCTGCTCTTGCTGCATGCACACACAAGGCTGTCCCTCGCAGATACTCACCATACCGGGACGTGGGAAGGGCACCTTGCCCCCATAGGGCCCCCACTGGTGCTGGGGACCATCTTGGTGGGCAAAGGGCCCCCTGAAGACCTCCCAGATATCTTCCATGTGGTACACACAGACCGCAAAGCCCTGGAACACAGCACTGCCAAGGGCGAACAAGGACAATCAGGTCAGGGTGACTGTTACAGGTAAGAAGGGGGCAGCTTGCTCCCACAGGCAGGACAGAGTGACAGTACCTGTGGTCAGCAGACACCAAAGATAAGGGCACCGAGGCCAAAGCCAGCAGGAGGCAGAGAATGCAGCCATGGAGTGACCAGGTCAGGGACAGCTCAGCGACCCGGTGAGGCCAGCCCTTGAGGCAGAGGCTCAACAGAGCGCCCCGGGGTACAGTGCTGGTGCCTACCTGACTGTGCGGAACAGCGCATACACCTCAAGGCTCTTCCCTGCCTTAGGCCACAGCAGGAACACATCCTCTGGGAGAGAGAAAGCCACAGGCGAGGCCTCCACTCACTGACTCTCGGCCCTGCCCACGCCCACACTCAGGCCTGCCCCGCCCGCGCCCTTACCCAGCTGGTCAAAGTGAGTCTCAGCACCACCAGGGCCGGGCACGGAGCAGACCAGCCTGGCCTTGAGAAAGGTGCTCCACTTGTTCACCAGCACGCGCTGTCCACCCACGTCATTCTGGGAGAGGGAACCCCACAGTCAGCCTTGGGCCTCTCCTGTCCCCCTGCCCACACGCTTCAGGGGAGAGGCCTCGGCTGCCCTACTGCTATGCTTCGGGGGGAGTCAAGGGAGGGGAGATATGGCGAGAAATTGAGCATCACAGCCCTTTCACTGTTCTCACCATGCAGACGCGGCCCACGCGGCTGACGGTGACATGACCTGGGCCACCGTCGGGTGAGGGGACAGTCTCCGAGAAGAAGAAGTACACCTTGTCATCGTCCTGGTCGGAGTTGTCAGGGATCCGGGCGGCCATCACAAACTGGGGGTCTGGGGGTGACAGTGAAGTTAGGGAGAGGGGGCCGATAGGAGGCCAGATGACTGAACCCAGTGAGGAGAAGGGGCCCCCTGAAGACTAGAGTCGTAGGAGCAGAGTGGGGTTGGGGCCTCCCTCCAGTCCCCACTCCAGCGTCAGCTCTCCTGGCCCCCCACCAGCCTCACCCTCAGCAGACTCCTGGGCTCACCGTGCAGGAGGTTCTGGTCAGAGTCAGATCGCAAGGCAGGCCGGGCACCCCCACTCCGGAAGATCATGGCTTCTCGCCCCAGGAAGTCGGCAGTGAGGCCCGTGTACAGCTCCCCGCCTGGGGTTGGGGTGCACAGAGTCAGGGGAGGAGGTTCAGGCCCTGCAGCTGGGCCCCATTCTTTCCCAGTCCTTGGGTCAGCTCCCACCCTCTGGCTTGCCTCAGCCTGAGTGTGACCCACCTACAAAGGTGCTGGCGAAGGGTCGGTTGGGCTCATGTGGGCACCGTCCTCTCCCACTCTCCACACTGCTGGGCTCCAGGTGGAGCACGTGCTGGGGGAGGAGAAGGAGGGAGGGGTGTTACCTGGAAAGCAGCCCAGCCCTGACATCCGGGCAGTGACCTTTGCGTGCAGTTGCAGAGTGGGGGAGTGGGTGGAAGGCCCTCTCCTTCAGGGCCTCCCCGTGGGGTCGGCTCCCTGGCACAAAGGCGCCTTTCAGGCCCTGACGCTCTGTCCTGACTGACTGACGCAGGCTCAATGGGGAGGCTCAGGCTGCAGGAGAAGTCGGCACTTCTCCCCAGGCTCACCTCCCCACGGTGCCCGACCGCGATGAGGACACAGGTGGGCTGGAAGGCCCCAGTGCCACATGCCAGCAGGTGGGTCCGGTTGTGCGGCTGCAGCACCCGCACGAAGTTGGCGCACTCCGTCTGGGGGAAGAGAGCGGTGAAGGGATGGAAGGTCACCTGGCATCTCTGCCTCCCATGGTTCCACCCTGTCCGGCTGATCAGGGTGACATTCTTCACAGACCTTCAAGAGCCATGAAAATCTGCTCCAGATGTCCCCCACACCCCACACCCCTCCCAGAACAGGCACAGGAGCGTGCCACAGGCACCCCCTGGGGTCAGGTTGGGGGGAGTCCCTCAGACAGCACTCACCAAAGGGTCTCTTCCTTTTCGAACACACTCCTCCCTCTGTCCTGGCTGAGGCCGCCACAGGACCTAAGACACAGCTGGCTGATCCCTGACCACACAGCCTCAGTTTTCCCACCCAACCTTCCATTCTGAGGCATCAGCTTCCATACAGCCCCTCGCCCTGGTCAGCCCAGCTCACCTCCCTGGGATCCGGCCAGGCCTGGTTCAGCCGCAGAGAGTAAATGCAATCACGGCCTCCCAGAAAGAGGCGATCCCGGTACTCATCCAGGTACATGGCTCGAAGGTCCAGGGAGCCCCGGGGACCCAGAAAGATGGCAGAGCGGTTGGCAGATAGGAGGTCTGGAAGGAAGCAAGGGAGGGCCAGGGACTTCTGCTCAGCCAGCAAGCGTGGAAGTGGAGGGTCTCAGCTCTGTGTTTACACACACACCCCACACATTCACATCTGGAAAAGGTTTCCTTTCACAAGGCTGCCGAGAACTTCGGGTAAGTGGATTGGGGGGAGGGATCTTGAGCCCCCCACCCCACCCCCCCGCCTCCTACCCCAGCATTCCGTAACTGGGTGTTCTTTCACTTAACACCTACTCCCACTGTCCCCTCTTGCCCTCCAGGAAAAGGCTCCACTGGCAGAAACTATGGCAGCCAGCCAGGCAAAGTGCCAGGGGCACCTGGAGGAAGAGTGTGTGGCTGGGCAGCTCGCAAGGCCGACTCCACAGGACAGGTGGACAGGCAGTCAGAGGAGAGTGTTCCCAGCACAGGGGCACCTGGTGAAGGCCTGCGTATGGGCGAGGCCGGCAGTGGCCAGCGGAGCTCCAGGCTCTATGCCAGGGGTGTGTTGAGAGGGTTTTCTCCTCTGCAGCTGCCCACTCAGACTCCAGGGGCGGGGTGGGCTGATGTCTGGGGACACTGACCCCAGGGGGCTAGGATCCTGGAACTTGGAGTTGGCTATGGAGGTGGAAGTGAGGGGTGAGCGAAGGGTCAGGCAGCAGGATACGGTGGGGGTACCCGTAGGAAGGCTGCATATGCCACACCTTCTTCCAGGAAGCCCTCCAGGGCTGACAGCACTTATTGGGGTTTTCCTGTAGCCTGACTTCTCCCCCAAAACAAAGCTCCCAGGACAGGATCACGCTGTCCCCAGGAACCCTCCCACTATGATTCTCCTAGTTTGCCCCATGTCCCTCCACTCAGACTCTCCAGAGCAGGCCAGGATCCTCAGAGTGGGGTGCCAGAGGAAGGCGGTTAGTGCTCTGGTTTCCCTGAGAAGAGTCTGTTGAGAGCCGCGCCCGGGCGGGACATTTTCCTTTGAAAAGTCCCCACACATTCAGAGAAGGCTGTGCCAGCAGCAGCACAACAAATCAGGTTAGATGGTCAGAGGAACCTCCTGGACCAGAATGGGCAAAGAGGGGACTAGAATGCCCTTTGGGACCAGAGGGAAGCGGCTGCACGGGGCTGGTGAGGGTAAAGTAGTGGGGATAGGGCGAGGAACCCCTCTGGGGAAGGGGGTGGGGGCGCCTGCTCCCTACTGCCTGCTCTGGGCAGGCCCCCATCAGCACACACATCCCCCAGCCTGCCCTCTGCCCTCTGCCCTCAGCACCTCTCTGCCATCTCCACTGCTCTGGCAGTCTCTCATCTGACTCCCTTTGCAGCAGGCCCAGCGGGCAGGCTTGGCCAGACTGAGTCTGTCAGTCTGTGGCTCCCACCTCCACCCTGGCCTTGTCTCCCAGGCCTGTCCTCCTCCCCCAGGGGCTCCCGTCTCTGGCCACCCCAAGAGACTCCCTGGCAGAGCACCATGCCAGGGAATGACCGTGAAGTCCTTCCCACGGGTTGTGCCGGGAGAGTTTGTACCCTCCTGACTGGGACCCCAGAGCTGGGGCTTTCGCAGGGCCCAGGGCTCCCAGGAACATGCACAAGGACACGGCGCTCCCTGCCATACCTCGGTAGGAGAGCCGCAGACGGGGCACGCTGGGGCTGGGGCTGGGGCCGGGGCTGGGGTGCCCCCCTTGGAGCAGGAGGCCCCCCAGGAGGCAGCAGATGGCCCAGGCCGAGGGGCCCATGCTGGGGAGCCAAGGGCACCAGTCTGCCAGCGCTGCCAGCAGAGCCACCTCCGCTCCCACTGCTGGTTGCAGTTTGCTCCTTTGCCGCTGGGCCAGACACTTATAAGACTGTGGCTCCACCCCGCCCGGGGCCAGGAAGGCGGGGGAGGGGACTGGACCACGCTAGGGCCCTGAGAGCCACCTGCAGCCTCTCCCTCCACCCTGGGGGGTCAGCTTGCTGGTCTGGGTCAGATAGGCCAGTTCCCCCCTGGGGACACTTTCCCAGCTGGGGTGGGTGAGCCCAAGTCCTCAGGCTCAATGGGGGAGGGGGAGAGAGGATGGCTAGGGAGACAGCCTGGGGGGCAGGGGGTGGGGGTGGGGGGGCAGAGGCCAGCAGTCAGTGCAGCTCAGTGGGGTCTGGCTGGGCTCTGCTTGCTCCCTGCCCTGGACATGCCCCCAGTAGAGATCCCCATACACTCACAGGGGGCCCAGGTCTCTGATACCAGGAGGGTCCAGACCCCTGAAGCTCTGGCCTGGGTCCCCAGTTCCGGCAGGCTCAAGTTGCTTAGGGAGACTTATTCTAACCCAGTGGCCCCACGCTAGGGGTGGGCTTGAGGATTAGCCAGACTCTGCAGATCTGGGGGTGACAAGAGATGAACGCCCAGCCGTCTCCACCCAGGTTTGTCCCTCTCTGTCCTCCAGACCCCATCCCAGCTCACTGGGGAAGGGACAGGGTCTGCCCAGTGCCAGGGAACCCTTTCCACATGGCCCTGCGTCCCTCAACCCTCCAGTTGGGCCAGAGACTCCGGGGCCAGAGGGAGCCCTGGGTATGTTAGGTTCTCCCCTGGTACCCCTCTGCCACAAAGGCCCCTATGATCCCTCCCAAGTGAAGGTGGACTCAAAGCACTCCCTCTGCCTTGAGCTCCTATTTAGGAGATGGGAGAGCTACGGAAGAGGGACAAGGGATTAAGGCTGAGAGGTTGAATCCAGGGAAGTGGGGACCTCGTGCTCTCTAGCCCACAGCAGTTCCCATCTGCCATCTCTTACCCGCCACTGCCCCTGTACTCAGCAGTAGTGTAACCTGGGTACTAAGAAGATTTCAGCTTTGAACTGAGATCGGAGCACCAGGATTCTGGAAAGTCCTGCAGGTTAGGCCTTCCCCAGGGACCAGCCTGAGTCTTCAGATGACGGTCAGGACACCTGAGGGAATCAGAGGAGGAAGTCTGGGTCCGTGCCACACAGCAGGGCTGAACAGGCTCTGACTAACCCTGTCCCTTCTGTGTCTGGGACTCCTGAAGGGGACCCTGTCTCCCCATGGAAGGACAGACTGAGGCACTTGGCACCCTGACTCCCTGGCCCATCCCCCAGCACACAGATGCCTCTTGTCTCCTCTTTGGGCAGGCGGGAGGTTTGCCTAGAGGTGGGTGAGGGGTGAGTTGTTACTCAGGGACGCCAGGGACACGACTCAGCCACTCTGCCTCTGCTCTGTTGGAGAACCTTGACCCAGGTCCTCCCCTCTCTGGGCCACAGCGTCTTTTAGAGCCGAGACCAGACACGTTGGGTGGAACAGGCTCCATACTCTGGGGAAGGTGCTTGTGCAGGGGTTGCCATGAGGTGGTTATGTCCTACGCCCCATAGGGTGGAACCTCTGAGCCTCTGTCTCCCTGGGGAGATGTTTGGGCATGTAGCCCAGGCTGGGGGCCAATGCCTGTCTGGAGATTGAGCAGAACAGCCCCTCACTCAGCATGTGGCCACCAGCTGTGGGCAGGAAGCCCAAGGACTCCTTAGCTGCCAGTTCACCCTGGGGGTCTCAGCTGGAGCTGTATAGGGGCCTGGATCTACTAGAGCAGATGTGGGGGGCAGCCCACTCCACACTGCAAGAAAAACAGCCATGCAAGACTAGAAGCCAGAACTCTACTCTTAACTCGTTGTGTGGGCTCAGGAAGTTCCTCGGCTCATCTTCTGGGTCTCAGTGTCCCCGTTTGAAAGATGGTTAAGGATTTTCTGCAAAGGCCTCACTTGCTGGCTGCAGGTGGGAAACTCACCAACTCGCCAACAGTGCCCTTCAGCGGGCGATCAGTGAGCCCAGCCGTGGGCATCTTGTGCCATCTAGTGGAAAAAGTAGGAACTGCAGAAGGTCCCCAACCGGTCCACTGTGTCAAAAAGGCTGTGCTGAGCTGCAGGTCTACCCAGCAGAAACCATAGTTTTCTTGGAGTGGTCATCAGTGACCACATAATTAACAATGTAGAGAAGGGCCTCCCTGTTGTCCTTGGGGTAAAGTCTCAGCTCTATCACCACTACAGCCTGAGTTCAATTCCCAGCCAGGGAGCTGACTCACATATGGCACGGCAGACCTTTCCTGTCTTACCTGCTGCTCCCCTCAGCAGTGTATTTCAGTAAATTCACTGCTCTGCTCCCCACTCTGTCTCTGGCGACTCTTCTCAAGGGTAGGGGGGTGTTCGCCAGTGATTGCTTCTGCTGAAGGAAATCAAGGGAGGCTTCCTGGTGGAAGCACTATCCAGAGAAATGACAACAGTCCATCAGAAATGCAGAGGACTGGTCCAGCAAAACAGAACGAGGTGTGCAGTGCCAGATGCTGGGGAGCTTGTGAGTGCTTGGCCATCGATGTGAGGTGTGTGTGTTCACACACTGGGCACCACCAAATATATGGAAAGCGTCCCAGCCTGGCCTCTCCCACCCAGAATTTGGAGTGGGCACCCTGGAAGGAATGGGCGCTCCCATTTCCTCCCCCACCAACCTCATTCTGGAACAGAGGGGTTGGGACACTTTTCAGGGGTCCCTCAGGACCCCCTCTTTAAGGCACCCTCAGCCCATAACCCCTCTTTGTAGTGGCCCAGCCACCCTCCTCTCTCATTCACCGACAGCTTACATCACTCGGGGTTCTCCCTCCCCAGTTCCATCAGTGCCCCACATCCCGTGAGTCCCTCTCGGGTCTTTCTCAGCCCATGAACGTCCACTCAGTCCACCATCCTCTGAGTCACCACCCACATGGGCGGCCCTTTGCATCTCATTCAGAATGTCTTCCTCCGGATACCACTTCCCACAGCCGTGTGTGCCCCCCCAAACACGCCTCAGGAAGTTTTACCCTACCACAGCTTTATCCTGTAAAGAAAGGCCATCTTTGACTTCTTACCTGCTCACACCTCTCGTGCAGTCCTTCGGCAAGTTTGTAGAGTTCAGTTCCTGAACATGCCCTGGATCTGTGCCCCTCTCTCCACCCCTTTTGCCTTATGGTTCTGAGCACGCCTGGGCCTTCTCACCCAGAGGCTGCCACATAGGAGTGAACTCATCCTGTATTTGTCTCCGTGAGACACACGTGTGCATGAATATACTCATGCCTATTTTACAAAACGTGATTCCCTCTTGGTTCAGCCATGTTGTTGCAAATGGCAGGATTTCATCATCATCGTTATTTTTATTTTTTTTAAAAAGATTTATTTATTCATACAGAACTGGGGTATAGGCAAGAGATGTGGAGGGTGAGAGGATTCACCAGAGACAGAGCGGGGAGCAGAACAGGCAGATCAACGAAGTACACTGCTGAGGGGAGCAGCGGGCGGGTCAGGAGAGGTCTGCCACACCATGTGGTCACCTCCGGGGCAGGCGGGAATCGAACTCATGCGGAAGCGGCTTTAGATTCTCAGTGCTGTGCTTTAACCCGCTGCGCCACCAGGGAGGGCCCATCATCGTTATTTTTAAAGATTTATTTTTGCATAGAACTGGGGTGTAGGTCAGAGGTGTGGGGGGTGAGCTGATTCACTGGCGACAGAATGGGGAGCAGGATGGGAGCAAGATGGGGAGCAGCGGGTGAGACAGGAGAGGTCTGCTGCACCACGTGGGTCGGCTCTCTGGCTGGCGGGGCATAGAACTCAGGCCATAGTGGTGACAGCACTGAGACTTAACCCCTAAGCTGCCCAGGATTTCATCTTTATTTTCCTATAGCCAAGTAGTGTGCCATTGGGTATATACCATATCGTTATCCATATCGTTATCCATTTTTTTAATGGACATTTGAGTCTTTAAAAAAAAAACTTAAAAAAAAAATCCTTGTGGCCCTCCCTGGTGGCTCAGCGGGCTAAAGCACTGCACTAAGAAGCTAAAGTCACTTCCGCATGAGTTCAATCCCCGCCTGCCCCGGAGGTGACCACATGGCGAGGCAGACCTCTCCTGACCCGCCCGCTGCTCCCCTCAGCAGTGTACTTCGTCGATCTGCCTGTTCTGCTCCCAGCTCTGTCTCTGGTGAATCCTCTCACCCTCTGCATCTCTGGCCTGTACCCCAGTTCTATTTGAATAAATAAATAAAAAATTTTAAAAATCCTTGTCTAAAATTATTTTTATGTAAAAATTCCCCACAAAGCTGCTACTCGCTCATTTTCCCATTTTATTCCTCTTCTTCAATATCCTGATATAAAGGACGTCATGGCATCTTATAAATTTGAACCAGATGTCCAGACAGTGCTCTGCCTTACATTCCTCAGGCTGCGTGTTCACAGCCGTCCACAGAAACCAGGGTACCCTTGTACTCCATCCCCACTTACGTTTCACTGAGGAAAGGTTTGGGGTTGGGGCAAAGTCATCAGACTGTGGGCAAGTGCCATAGGCTGTGGGCTGCCACGGGCCAGCTGTTCCTGTTCCTGCAAACAGGACACCTGCAGGAGCCCCAGGTATGAGCTCCAAGGGTGTGGTCACCAAACAGCAGTGTGACTGTCACCTCCCCCATTACATTTTTTGAATTAAGTAAGTACACAGAGAACATTTGTCTAGGAACTTAAAAAGATTATATTCTCTTGTGCTATGCAGTATAACTTAGAGAATTAAAAAAAAAAAAAAATAGACCCTGTCCCATCCTGAGGTCTTGCCCTGGCTCCTGCCCTAGTCTTCTCCCTTCTGAGAGTACCTGGTGGCTCCCTTGGACTGAGCATCTCATGGGGTTCTGGTGCTGCCCCCACGCCCCACGCTGCTGGGCTCAGAGCCAGCCCCACACTGCCTCTCAGCTCTAGTCCTTCTCTCCTCCTGGTCATTCTTCCCTTCTGCTTTCCCATGGTGGGCTCCCTGAGTGGGTCTTCAGGCCTCTGCTCAGTGCTTCCTCCTCCAGGAAGTCTTCCCAGGCTACTCTAGCCTATAGCTAAAATCCCCATTCTAGCAATGTGCTGATGTCCTCACTCTACTCATCTCTCCCCATTTCCCCCTGAATTGACTATAAATTCCACACGATTAGGAACTAAGCCTCCCAGTGATGGACACCAACATCTCACTTTTGTCGATACACGTAGGTGTGTGACTAAAGCATGGCATGGTAACTGACTGGCAAAGGCACCCACCATGGCCCTGCCTTCTTGCTTGTCATTCCTGGTTTGCTCTGGGTGCCCCCCAGAGGCCCCGAGTTCTCCAGCTCCCACTGGTAGGCCCAAGGGTATTCACTCCTCCCCTGAGGCCTCTCTGGGGGATAGGCAGCTCCTGCCCGCTGTGGCCTCCACTAGAGGCATCTCCAGAATCCCAAGACTGTCTCTGGAATGCTGGGCCTGTCTGGGGAACGCCAAGACCGGGCCACAGGTGGGGAGCTGTGGAGTGGCTGGGTGGAGCAAAGACAGCTGCTGACATTCTGGCTGGAGCCTGTGCCCAGCGGCAGCTGTCTTTCCGGCGAGCACCACCGCCAACACCTCCACTTCCTTCAGCCTCCGTCCCCTCTCCAAAGCCACTGTCACTTTTCTGGGCACACCGCTGGCCTGGATTCCCTATGAAGCTGAAGGACACCGACCTTGTACCTCCATTCCCTCTCAGGAGGAAAAGTGTGCTGCTGGTGTCTCTGGGTTTAAGAGGAGTTGGAAATTACAACCACCTGGACTCAGTCCATCAGCCCGAGCCTTGGCTGGGAGCCAGGTAGCTTGACCTGACAGGGCCCCACACCCCTCTGGGCCCCAGCTTCATCACCTACTGAAGCAGACAATGTGCCTCTCAAAGATGCCTGTAAGAGAGCCAAGCGAGTGGGCAGGTAGATGAGCTCTAGGCCTGCAGGGCCCTGAAGTCCCCTGCTTCTGCCCAGCCAGAGGTGAGAAGGAGCCAAGGCTGTGCCAAGTAGCATCCAGGGCACGACAATTTCTGTCTCCAAATGCAGGACCCCTTGGCTGCCAACTGACGGGCCCATGCCGTGGCTCCCAGGAGCATTAAAATGCAGATCATTTGCCATCAGACTCCAGAGGCTGGAGATGGGGCCTGGAGTGTGTACCCTGAGCCAAGCTAGCCCCACCTGTCTACGGTGGCACACAGGGCGGATATGGGGGGCGGGAAAGAGAGTAGTCATCAGGCCAGGGTGGGCGCTAGCGAGGGCCTGGGGCCCCCAGGAGTATGAGTCAGACACCAGGCCTCCAGAGAGCAAGGCTTTATTTGCCTTCCCTAGGGCAGGGCTGGAGGAGGAAGGTGTCATCAGGGGGCCAGCTAGAGCTGAAAGGTGGGTGCAGGCAGTTCTGGCAAGGGTAGGTTCTACTCCACCCCCTTCATGAACTCCAGGAACTCTGTGGAGAGAGACAGGCCGGAGTCAGGGACGGTCTGGGGCAGGCAGAGGCAGCAGGGCCGGCCCGCTCGCTTCTCACTCACCATCGTAGTCGATGCGGCCGTCGTTGTTCTTGTCTCCATCCTTCATGAGCTCCTCGATGTCGTCCTCCGTGATGGTCTCCCCCGTAGCCTGGAGCATTATCTTCAGCTCTTCCAGGTCGATGTAGCCATCAGAGTTTCTGTGGAGAGGAGGGTTCTCAGAGCCCTTGGAAGGGGCCAGAGGACAGACGGCCTCCTGGCACCTCCCATGGAGAAAGGCCTGGGCCCCTGGGAGATGACGCCGCCCATACCCCCCACCCTCTGCTGTCTGGGAGGGGGGCTGAGGCCACGATTCTCTTTTCTCCAATCATGCTAGGGTCGGTCGAACGTCAAGAGTCAAGCACTCACTTGTCAAACATGCGGAAGAGGTCAGACAGCTCCTCCTCAGACTTTCCCTTGCTGTCATCCTTCATGCAGCGAACCATCATGACCAGAAACTCATCGAAGTCCACCGTGCCACTGCCTGGGGTGGGGGCAGGGCCGCCAGAGAGGGGAGATCAGACACAGACTCCAGCTGCACACTAGCCCCAGGTTCTCACTGCAGCTGCCCACCATCTCTGTGAGGAGAGTGGCTGTTGTGTCCGTTTCATTGAGGAGATGGCTGAGCCCAGAGATACAATCTAACTCCTTCGGGGGCAGAGTAATGAGTAGTAGAATCAGGCACCAGTGGGCTGGGAGGGTTATGGGTCTGGGGTCTGGACCAGAGGGCTCACCATCCTCATCCACCTCGTCAATCATTTCCTGCAGCTCCTCGGGAGTGGGGTTCTGGCCCAGCATCCTCATCACCTTGCCCAGTTCCTTGGTGCTGATGCAGCCATCCTCAGCGCCCAGCACGAAGATGTCAAAGGCTGCCTTGAACTCTGTGTCCAAGAGGGCGGGTGGGGCAGAGTGGCCAGGGCTCAGCAGCCAGGACCCCGGAAGGCCAAATCATCCCTGGGGCCACCTGGCAACTTCTGAGGCTTCAGAAGTCACAGGAAAGGGCCCTCAACCTCACCCCCCAGCCTGGAATTCTCGTGCTCCCCCAGCCTGGCCCTGCTATACCATGTGTGTGGGTGCTCTCACCATTTTTCTGTTCTTCAGTCAGCTGCTCTACCTAGAGAGGAGAAGAAATTTCAGGACACAGCATCAGGCTTTAGCTGCTTTCAAGCAAACCAACCTGTTCTACAGGTAGGAAGATGGAGCTGGGAAGAGACAGGTCTTGTCCAGGTCACAGAATAGAGGCCTCAGGCCCCCAAGGCCCTAATGTAACCCAGCTGGTGTCACTGAAGCTGGGCTCAAGGCCAGGGTGGAGGTGGGCACCCCTCCAGAGCTAAAGTAATCCGGAGTAACAATAGTCAGTGACCACTCAATTTCTTTTGGGGCCCCCTGCTTGAAACCCAAGCAGAGTAGCTTTAGGGACAGCTGTCCTTCAGATTAGGACAATAAAACCAGTGTGTAGGGGGCACAGTCATCCACTGTAACCTGACCGGGGTGGCCACTGGCTATTTTTAACGGGGGACATAGTTAAACCTGGTGATTGTTCTGGGACTCTGGCATGCAGGGGGTGGGGCAGTGTTATCTGGTCCCCTGGCCTGCTGGTGTCTCAGGAGCCAAAATTAGTCCCCAGCCCCGACAGGCCTTGTATGGGCACTGGGTGGAAGGCTGCCCCCAAACTCCAGCTCTATAAACTCCTGCAAGACAGGCACAGGCACCCCCAGAGCCAGTTGGTGCCCTTCCCTGCCCTGGAGTAGGGATGTACTTCTTGGGGGGAGGGAGGCGTCCCCTCAAAGACAGCAGTCTGTGCTGGGGTGTCCTTTCTCTGGGGTAGCGCTGTCAGCAACTATCTCTCCCTGCCCCCATGGAATAGCATCTGAAGCCCCTTATTGACCCCAGGAAGTCTGCAGGGACTTAGGGTAACCTCTTGCTCGCCCTTGCCCCTCACTGAGCCACTGAGCTCTGAGCAAACCAGGTTGGGCTATGGCCCCACTTTTCTATTCTTCCTAGCTCTCCCCAGTCCCGATCCTTCCCTGCCTGCTTCAATCCTCAAAGCCCCTTTCCCAGTTCAGAATTCAGATTCTGGGCCCCCTTCTCACTACACCTATCCCACTCTCCACAGCATCTTCAGCCAGCTGAAGGAGCCTGAAGGGATAAGGGAGCTGTGGACATGTAAGACACAGACTGTAACGGGCAGAAATTGAGGGGTGAGGACAGGGAAGCAGGAATACAGTGAGAGACTGCTCTGGAGGAGCAAAGAGATGGAAAGAAGCTAAGAAAGGCAAAGACCCAGATACAGATGCAGAGAGATGTGGCATAGAGACAGTGACAAGGACTACAGGCACAGGACACAGGAAGGAGCTAGTCTGGTCTCCGCTCCAGACCCACACCTCATGTGCATCCCAGAACACCAGACCCACCATCCCCTTACGGCCTTAGCTAAATGTACACGGCTCTCTCCCAGATCTCACTAGCTCCCTTCCTGAGCTGGTGAGTCCCAGTGCCCATCCAAACCCTGCTCAGATGCATTCCTCACCGCAGCCTTGTAGATGTCATCCATGCTGGTGGCTCACAGGGCAGACTGCTGGGGTTGCCAGCCCCTCTGGGCTTAAATAGCCCCGCTCAGCCTTCTAGGCCCAGCCCACTTCTGTGAGCACAATTATCCTCCACCCCCCTCCCCTGTCCCTGATGATCTCAGGCTGGCCTGAGTCCGCAGCCTGGGAGTCTCTGAAAGGTTTCTTGAATGAAAACATGGACCTAGAACAGGGCGAGCACTACAAAGTGACAGGTGCAGGCCATGCCCTGACATACAGCAGTTCAGCTTGCCATTCAGTCAGGGAAATGGGCCAGGCTAGATATTACTCTCACTTTGAGATATGGAAACTGACTCCTGGGCAGATGGCAACTTCTCTAAAGTCTGACTGACTTCCCAGCCTTAGCCTTAAGTGAAACCTCTCTGGAGTTGGGGTGTGAGGGGGACACCAATATGCAAGGAGAGGCTGAAAGTAAGGGCCCTAACAAGAGAAACTTCAAATGCCAAGCTCAGAGTGTAGAGCTTGGAACTAACGGAAAAGGAATCAGCGACCCATTTTGGGACAGACGAGTACTAGCTTTGGGCTTGGGTCAGCTGCACTCAGCCATTGCACAAACACACCTACAGATGCCCTATCACACCAGACCACCCACCCCCTTTCTCTCCAGCTGTGCCACTACCATATTCTAGGTTTGGATTTTCCCCTGGGCTCCTCTCTTTGCCTGAGCTTCTGCCATTCCAGCACTGGAGTTCCTGGGTCCCGGGCCATTTTGTTAAGCCCTCCCCTCCCCGCCATTTTGAACTCCGTAAGGACGTCGTCCGGAGTGTCTTGTGCCCAGCGGGCAACACATACATACCCTTCCCTTCCTCCTATAGTCCACCTGCATTCATACAGGTACCCTGCTTGATAAGCACACCAGCTCCCTATCTTGCAATCCCGGGACTATATAGACTAACCCTTTCCACTCTCCAGCAGAGAGGAGATCTCTAAGTCTTAGATTAAAAAATAGCCCAAAGTCACTCTGTGTGTGCCTGCCCAGGTCCTAAGCACAGCACATTTGTCCTCTTCGCAGGCCCTACTGGGAATGAGACCAAAGCCCAGTGAGGTGTGATTACTTGGCGGAGAAAACTGAGGCCAGGCAGCGCAATGACTTGCTCTGGACCTTTTGCTCTCCCTTCCTGGGCACCAACTGTCCATGCCCAGAGCTGTTCTGCCCTGAGCCTCAGCTTCTTAAGCGCGGCTAGGAGCCGAGAAGGCGGCGCGAAGCAAACGCACGTTATGCAAGCGGACCCGCCGAGGAGGCCTGCGCATGCGCGTCGCTGACAGCTGTTGTCAATCACACGTGAGGGGCGGGGCGAGGGTGCGAGAAAGCGGCGGGGCCAAGATGGCGGCGCGGCGCGCGACGGGGGCGGGGGGCGACGGGGGCCGGGGGGCGGTGGGACGCTGACCCCGCCTCCTGCTGCTGCTGCTGCTGGTCTGCGCCGGGCGGCGGCGACGGAGCCCGAAACATGGCGGCAGCGGCGCGCAGCTTCGGGCCGGAGCGGGAGGCCGAGCCGGCCAAGGAGGCGCGCGTCCTGGGCTCTGAGCTCGTGGACACGTACACGGTGGGCTGCGGTCGCTGGCGTCGGAATCCGTGGGTGGCGACTGGAACCCTGAGTCCGAGTCGGGGGGGAAAGGGGGAGGTGTAAGGGGAACCTGGGCCCCGCTCCCCGGGAGGAGGGAGATGGGGCTGGCCTACGATTTCGAGGGGGGAGCTTGGGACAGGGCATCTGGGGAAGGGTATGGGCCTTACAGGTCCGGAAAGAGGGACAGGGGTGCAGAAGGTTAGGGTTGAGGAGGATCTCGGAATAAAGCGGTGTCTAGCGAACGGGGGTCTAGATGACGCTTGGAAGGGCACAGGCCGGGGAGGACGAAACGGGTCCGGGAGGAGGGGTAATGATGGGGGAGTTGTCTGATGGATGGGGTGAAGGGGAGGGCCAGGGGCCTGGGGGCCTCGCAGGAGAGGGCGGGACCTTGATCTGGGGTGGCGTTTGCACTGTGTTCTAGAAATTGGGGTGGTGGGACGGTGGGCGTCGGCAGAAACTAGAATGGAAGAAGGTTGGAGCCCATGCACGGGTTGACTGGAAGCGGGTTTTCTACTCAGGGCCGAAAGTGCAAAACCAGGAGCCTTAGGGATCTTCATGGCTTTGGGGTGCAAGGTGGGGCGGCAAGCCACCCCACGTAGTTAAAGGCAGCAGGGAGATGGAGAGCTGAAAAGGAGGTGAGTTCATACAGTGATGGAGTTGGAGCTTCTTGGTCCCCTGTGGCCCTGAGGTAGGGCACCTACTGAGCATCTTCCAGCCTCCGGTCCTTTGTTCTGAAGGGGGGGGCCTTGGCTCCACCTCCTGGCCCCTAATCCTAACCCTTCTCCTTGGGGGTCATTCCTCTGGCTCTTTCTACTTTGCTGGGGGGAGAGCGGGGGAGAAAGGGTGGAGGAGGAAAGCGGCCTGGCTGGAAGAGGGGCTGGGGGCAGATCCTGGTACCACAGACGCCCTGGAGAAATGGCTCCTCCTCCACAGAGGCTCCAACTAGGTTGATTATTTTCTCCTTCCCTGCCTGCTGCGGAGGCACCAGAATCAGGGAGCCTCACCCAGGTGAGGATTGAGGCAATTTGAACTGATGATTGATTGGCCATCACCTACCTGCGCATCCAGCTGGAAGACCTGCCCCAGAGAGCTCCCTTTACTCTAGGGAGCCTCTCCTCAGAGGGCGTGGGGGCGGTGGTGAAGCAGGCCGACCCTACCGTTTTGTCTCCAGGTGTGTTGAATTGAATATTAACACACCTCTCTGTTGAACATTTGCTATGGGGGTCTATACCCTGGCCTAAATATTTGCATGCATTACCGTGTTTGAGTCTTAGGCCGACCAGGTTTTAAGATGAGAGGGACTGATGCTCAGAGAGAACTTAGGCTTCCAGTCATTTCCATAAGTGACTCGTACATAAGCCATACCCAGAAGTAACAAGGTTTTGAACTCAGGTCTTTCTTGACTCTGAAAACCATTCTCTTATCTACTAAGCCCTTATGTTAGGGCTTGGTTGCCCAGCTTCCTCGCCCCTGACCCCTAGCTGCATGAGCTAGCTGAAAGGGTTGGAAAGGGACTGACTTCCAGTATATAGTCAGCGCCCCTGGGGAGAAATACAGCCAAAAGGCTGGTCCCACCAGGCCTGGTCCTGTCCTGCCTCTCATGGAAGGGGTGCCCTTGCCTGTAGTTCAGGTTGGATTGGCTTTAAATTACCTGAAGGTAGAAAACTAGAGATGTTTTGATAGGATAGTTACCTTTCCCATGCCTCATGGTTGGAGAGAGCCACTTATCCTGTGCACCTGCGGATTCAGGGCTGAGGCGGTGGAGGAGGCTGTGAGGGGCCTGTTGCTCAGCGAGGGTCAGGCACAGGAGCTGTGGGCATTGACAGTTAACTTGGCCTGGGGTAAGGGAGTCTTAGTGCCCTGGCCTGTGGCTAGGTTAAGCGGGGGAGGGGCTACTCCTTGTTGCTGGTTGGACAAAGGTGGTTTTCCCCTTTTAGGTTTACATCATCCAGGTCACTGATGGCAGCCACGAATGGACAGTCAAGCATCGTTACAGTGATTTCCATGACCTGCATGAAAAGGTAACCTGTGAGCACTGGAGACCTGTGTCAGGGTTTCAGGCCATGATCTCATTGTGCATGCATTTGTTTTACATTAAAATAGCTTCTATACCTTTAGTGTTTTTTAATAAACCAGTTTATTAATGTAGTTGACAACAGATAGTGGGAGTTCAGCCTTAATAGGAAATGGTGTACAAGAAGCATACTTGAGCAGTTTTAAGATTCCAGTCCTAGCTTGGATGTGACTTGTTGGAACAGTCTATTGGGGAGGGAATGGATTTGAATTTGTTCCACTCAACAATAGTTACTCCAGAATCAGTACTTTAATATCTGACTGAATTCTTGACTTTCTTTACTTTTGGAGAGACATTCTTTCTCTGGGTCATTTGCCTGAGTGTGTTAAAGACAGATTGCCAATATGATTGGGTTTATTTCTGGTTTGGAAAAGATCTTGATTTAGGGACCTGGAGCATGTCTCCAAGGCTTTCCAGTGGAGCTCACTGCCTGGGATTGTATTCGTATTTCTAATACTAAGTGAATAGGTAAGCCAAATCCCAGATGCACTGGGTTGATCACTAATCCAGGAGCTCCTGCCTCGAGGAGTTGTGCCAAACAGCTGCCCTCAGCTGCTTGCCTCAGGATTGCACAATCAGGAAACCATTTGCTGTATGTTTGACACACTTATGTTTTCTTACAGCTCATTGCAGAAAGGAAGATTGATAAAAATCTGCTTCCGCCCAAAAAGATAATTGGGAAAAATTCGAGAAGCTTGGTGGAAAAGAGGGAAAAGGATCTGGAGGTCTATCTCCAAACACTCCTCGCCACCTTCCCTGGCGTGGCCCCTAGAGTGCTGGCCCACTTCTTGCATTTTCACTTCTATGTAAGTTCCCCTCCGGTTTTCTCGTTTCTCCTTGTCCCACAAGCCCACAATTGCCAAAATTTAAGGCTGCAAACTGGCAGACCTCATCTTTGAGGGGAGGAGAGCTGGAGTTTGACCCCGAGATTAGAAGATGGAGGAACTTCTCTCTGGTGGGGGTGGAGTGTGGGCAGAAGCATGGGCACTGACAGGTTCCCCTTCATCTGGTCATAGGGAGGATTTTCCTTCACCAGGTGTTTTGTTTTAGCAAAGTCAGCTTGTGGGTATTTCCACCAGTTTTCTATCCAAGTGAGACTAGATTGGTAACAGCTGACTACTGGCATGGACGTGTGTTGAGTTGTAGCTTCATAGCTCAAGACTAAGCAAGGGATCAGTCTACATTGCCATCTTGGGTTATTTCAGAGTCATAGGTGCTGAGAGGGAAGCTAAGTACCTTCCTGCAAGGGGAAGGGATGGAAGTGGCTATCCTTGAGCAGTGCCACACTCCCTTATGGATGGAGAACAGCTTTCATGAGCTGAAGTGACACGATGAGTTGTCAAACTTCAGGGAGGGAAGTTTGACAAATGTGAAACCAGAACATTAAAAATAACACTCCACTTCTGAGAATTTATTCTAAGGAAATAAATCAGGGAACTGCAAAATGGATAAAGGCACAAATATAAGGAGGTGTTTTTTAAAAATCAAAGAGTAGGCACAGCACTAAGAAGCTAAAGCCACTTCAGCATGAGTTCGATCCCCGCCACGGAGGTGACCCACATGGTGCAGCAGACCTCCCCGACCCATCCTCTGCTCCCCTCGGCATTGTACTTCGTTGATCTGCCTTTTCTGCTCCCCCCTCTGTCTCTAGTGAATCCCCTCACCACCCCTGCACCTTTGGCCTGTGCCCCAGTTCTGTATGAATAAATAAATAAATCTTTAAAAAAAATCAAAGGGTAACCTATAAAATTGGCAATTATCCTGCTAGAAATAATGATGGTGTACCTGTGGATTTGTTGACATCAGAAAATAGATATATTAGTACATGAAAAGAACAGGCCATGACACAGTATGTAGCACATGATTCTATTTTTATTAAAAAATTATAAAACTATATTTGTCTAGGAAAATTCTAGAAGATTATTCACCAAGATGCTTGGAGTAGTTGCCTGTGTTAGATTTTTAAAAGAATTTACATTTAGTATTTTCAAATCATTTACATTTAATTGTTTTCCATTTGTGTGTTGAAGATAGGAAAGATTCTACCCCTTTTTCAGGCTTGCCTTTTAGGAAGGAACCTGTGGGTTCTGGGCTCAACAATCTAAATGTGTTTAAAAAGGAACTTTCTAGGGCCTCCCTGGTGGTATAAGGGGTTCAGTCTCAGCACTGTGAAGCTATCACAGCCACTGCAGCAAGGTTTGATTCCTGGCCAGGGATCCCTGACCCACATGGCACAGCAGACTTCTGTCTTCGCCTGCTGCTCCCCTCAGCACTGCATTTCAGTGGATCTGCCTGTCCTGCTTCCCACTCTGCCTCTGGTGAATCCTCTCACCTTTCCCCTCACCTCTGCCCTTCACCCCAGCTCTTGTATGTATAAATAAATAAATCTTTAAAAAAGGAATTTTCTAAAAGTATTTTCTTAAAAAAAAAAAGTATTATTAAGATAGCTGAACCTTTCTTGGAATGCAATAGAACCTGGAAATTTTCTGGTAGTGTTAGCATTGGGCTACTAAGCTTGGAAGAACCATTGTGGACAAAATGGTGATATTTCTTATGTGGTATCTGGATTTTGTATGCCATGTTCCAGCAGTGTATGTGGTAAGTAGCAGTTCCTTGTAACCCTTTTGACTTTTTTTTAAAGATATATTTATTTATGCATACAAGAGCTAGGGTGTAGGTCAAAAGTGTGTGGTGAGGAGAAAAGGAGAGGATTTACCAGAGACGGAGTGGGGAGCAAAACAAGTGGATCCATTGAAATGCGCTGCTGAGGGGAGCAGTGAGCAAGACTGGAGAGGTGTGCTATGCCATGTGGGTCAGCTCCTTGGCAAGGGATCAAATTTGTGCTGCAGTGGCTGTGCCCCCCTTTTGACTTTTTTTTCTTACATGAGAAAAAAATTTCCATTCTTCATGTGAGTCCATATAAACGTTACTGACTAGTATTTTAAGAAATGCAGTATGTTAAGAAAGCTTCGATTAGCTATTTAAGGATAAAACTTACTCAGCTCTTTGGAAGTATAACTCATTGCTTGAGGCCTAGACCTTTCAGGAGGTCTGCTGGCTGCCTCCGATTTGCCTACTTCTGAGTCTAGAAAGGCCTCTTAAGATAGGTTTGCTGACATGGACCTGGGAGCACCCACATCTATAGTTCTCATTTGAGGACTAATCTGCTCTTGAAGCAGTTTGGATATTTTTAAATTACTGTGACAAAACAGTCCACTGGGTTATATAAATCCAAGGATAGACAAAAGTAATTGATCATTAAGTTAAATGAGAGCTTCTCAGCCATGGTACCATTGACATTTTGGCTTGTAGAGGATGCATTGTCGTGGCATCTGTGGCCGCTCCCCACTAGATGCCCACAGCACCTCCCCACCCAGCTGTGACAACTAAAAAGGTCTCCAATATTGCCAATACTTCCCTCAAGACTCAACAGTTGTACCTGATTGAGAGCCACTAGATTTGATCCTTGATAAGTTTGAAGAAACAGGGCCTAAAATGTTTTGTTAGTCTTTACTATAGGGTGAGAGATTTCTTGGGAATGTTTCTTGTGACTTTTGTCCCATTAGTGTCCTTGAAACTGTTCCAAACATACTCTACCTCTGTGGGGCTGACGGATTATGAGGACCCAGGAGACCCTACTGTGTACTTTTTAATAATGGAGATATAGTTCACATACTACAAAATTCATTCTTTTAATATGTGCAGGATTTAGTATATTCATTAAGTGGTGCATCTGTCACCACTCTCTAATTCTAGAACATTCATCTCCCCCAAAAGGAATAGTCATTTCCCATGCTCCCCAGCTCCTAGCAATCACTAATCTACTTTCTATCACCGTGAATTTGTTTATTCTATACTTTTCATTAAAGGGAATCTTAGAGTAAAAAAGGATCTTACAGAAAAGTCTTCGTGACTCTCTTCACTTAGCATATTTTCAAGATTCATTCTTACTATAGCGTAAATCAATATTTTTGTCCTAAGTGATACTGTTTATCCATCTGTATTTTGTTTTACCTATTCATCAATCGATGGACATTTGGGTTGTTTCCACTTTGGCTATTATGAATAGTACTGCTTTGAATGTTCCTGTGTAAGTTTACATATGGAAATGTTTCATTTCTGTTGGATATACACTAGGAATGGGATTCTGCTGGGTCATATGGTAACTTTAACTTTTTGTGAACATTTTCTCCATAATGGCTATACCATTTTACTTTCTGAGCAGCAGTGTTTAGATGTGCTCATCTCCCAATAACCTTGTTAACTCTTGTTACTATCCATTTTTGTAAAGTGGGTGATACAGTATCTAATGGTTTTGATTGCATTTCCCTACTGACTAATGATGTTGAGCCTCTTCCCATATGCAAATCTTTGGAGAAATATGTTCACATCTTTTGCCTTTTTAAAAATTAAATTACTTGTCTTGTGTTTTGATTTGTTCTTTATATACTTTGGATATGAACCTTTATCAGAAATGTGACATGTAAATATTTTCACCTGTTATAGAAAATGTCTTCATATTCTTGATAGTGTCCTTTGAAACACAGAAGTTTATAGATTTTGATGGTTTAACTTACTTTTTCTTTGGTTGCTTTGGTGTTGTATTTAAGAAATTATTGATTAATCCGATGTCACAACAATTTACAGCTATGTTTTTTCCTAAGAATTTTATGGTTTTAGCTCTTCTATTTAGGTCTTTGGTCCATTTCTAGTTATTTTACATGGTATATTTGTACATGGTATAAGGTATATGGGTCAACTTGATTTGCAGGGTGGATTTCAGTGGCACAGGAAGAAAGCACCAGTTTTCTCAGTCTTGAGATGGTATGTGCTAGATCTCTCTGGGTAATTATACCCTGATACTCCTTGACTCCTGGTGCCAGACCGCATCTTCCCTAGTGGAGAGATTTTAAGATTCTGTGAAGTTAAATTTCAGTACACCACTCTGCTTCCCAGCAGTTCATCCCAAGTCACTTATTGAACCTCTGTGTCCAGTTTCTCTTCTGTGAGCTGGAAGGTGATGACCCCAGGCCTTTGGAAGAAAAGTGCAGTGGAGGGTAAAGGACCTAAGAGAGTGATGGGCCCATGACAAGGGCTTACCAGGTGCCGGGCAGTATCGAGTCAGAAAGTGGTGTCCTTGAAAGGTGGCATTTATATCATTTCTTGTTTTAAAACCCAGTTGGTTAGAAAGAGGAAGGTGGTTTTTGAAATTTGAAATGGGAAGTTAGGGTGGAACTGGTACCACCTTAGCATTCGTTTATTGCCAGCATTTGTTTTAGTTGCAGAATACCAAGGAAGTAAATGATAGCAGATTTCTCCACAACTTACAGTCTTACAGCTTACAGTTTGTTCTATTAAAGACGTTTGAATCCCTTCATGTGGAATTTTCACTTCAAGTCAAGTCTGACAAGGCTGACTCCTGCTAGACTGCTTCATCACTGTCTTAGTCAGTCAGACAGGGACTTTAATGTGTGTGTAACCATCACAGTGCTGTATAATCGGATGCCTTGCTTGCCCTGTGACAAGCAATCTGCTTGAGTTTGTGCCAAGCAGAAGTGTGTTAGGCTGGTCTGTGTTTTGGGATATACTTGCTTGGGGGCGCCTCACATGCAGACACGCTTGGTCAGAATGTTAGTTGCCAGACTGCATACTTACTATTCCATAGCATCATATACAACTCATGCCCTCTATTCAAGGCCACACAATAGTGCTTAATCCTGGCAGGTAGCTGATTGGGATGGTGGTACAGTTTTGTTTTGTTTTGTTTTTTATAAATTTTTTTATACATTTTTCAAATGTATAAAGT